TCACTCGTGCTTGGAAATTAATCTACAACCCTAATAACATAAAAATCATTCATTAACTCTTCAAAATCTAATATGTTCTTCAACCACCCAAATCATGAAACTCATCATCCAAGTATGATTTCCATGAAATATTTATAACAATTGATAAAGAATTTCAAGAAGATTAATTCTCTATCTAATAGCTTAACTCAAATATCAATCGAATAAGCCTAAAAATAAATTTGAAAATTATCACCTCTTGAGCTATGGAGTTCATGAAAAATGCTTGGGAAGATAGCTGAATTTTTTTCCATGTAATTATCACTTAAAACACTTGGCACCTTTATAATATAATTGAATTTAAAATTCAATTAATGAGAAATTTCAAAATTACCATTAATGAATCATGATAATTACCAAATTCCATTGAAATATCTTTCATTAAAATATCTCATAGTCAAAGATGAATCAACTTGAAGTTGAATTTCTACTTTAGCTATGTAATTTTTGAAAATTACATTTTAGTAACTAAATTTCCACTGTTCGACCAAATCTAACAAATTAACTTCAATTCCACTGATCCCTGCTAAATCTCACTGACCTAAAGTATAGAAATAATATTTCCAACATTTATCTAACATCCTTCAAATTTTCGTGTAATTCTGATTTGATATGATTACCCGATTTATATATTGAACTTTAGCACTTTATAGCTTTTAATACAAATCTATACAAAAAATCTGATTCCAACTAAAATTCTTCTTTTATGCCAAACTGTTAATTTACGAGCTTAAATAAATAATTTTTTAAAATTATATTTTTGGTCCTTCAACTTTTACAAAGTTTATACTTTAGTCATCAAACTTTCAAAATTTATATTTTAGTCACTGACCAAAATTTGGGGTATTTAAAGTAGATATCAATAAAGTTTTTCTCAGCGGGGATCTGCATGAGGAGGTGTTTCTTGTTCAACAATTAGGGTTCGAGTAGAAGTTGGTAGGAGGTGATCGATTGGTTTGCAAGCTTGAGAAAACCCTCTACTGTCTCAAACAATCCCCTCGTAATTAGTATTCGAAGCTCAAAATATTTTTGCTCACTCTTGGGTTTTCGACGCACTCAAGCAGATGCTTCTATGTTCATCAGGTGTCAGAATTGTTTTTATACTTGAGTGCTAGTCTACGTTGACGACGTTATTATTACTGGTCAGCTGAGTGACGATGTGGAGCAGGTTGTTACGTCCTTAGGTCGTTAATTCTCGTTGAAGGATTTGGGTAACTTTGATTTTTCTCCTTGGACATGAAGTGAAGCGTGGTGATGGTTGTCTTTTGCTTCTTTAGAAGAAATATATATGTGATTTACTTGAGAGAGTTCATATGGATGGTGGTAAATCCATGGTATTAAATTGCGGCCGCAACGCAATGTAACGGCTGTATCGTAACGGTTTTGAAGGTAACTCGATATAATATTAACGTAACGCAACCGACCGTAACAGTCGCAACACGTTAAAAAATCACGCCCGCGACAGCCGCAACACGTTACGTAATGTCCGCAGCATCCGCAACCGCGACAGATGCCGCAATCGCTATTTTATACTATGGGTAAATCTGTCCCGACCCCCATGCTTGTGTCACCCAAGCTTAGCCAAGATGGTGGTCGACCTCTGGATGATGCTCAAGAATACCATAGTATGTTGGTGCTCTATTGTACCTTAGTGACACGCGCCCGAACATTGCTTTTAGTGTTCATCGGGTGGCACAGTATATGCACCAACCGTGTGAACTCCATTAGGTTGTTGTGAAGAGGATTCTTCGTTACTTAAACGGAACGTTAGATTCTGGTCTCCTGTTCGAAGCATCTCCTGGTTCGTGTGATTTAACGGCATTTGCAGATGCTGATTGGGGAAGTAATGTTGATGACCGATGCTCAGTTACAGGCTACTGTGTTTACTTTGGGTGCAACCTAGTTACTTAGAGTTCCAGGCGTCAACGATCGGTTTCACGGTCCACAACCGAGGCAGAATATCGGGGAGTGGCAGATGTGGCGTCTGAAGTGGTTTAGCTTCACACTTTGCTTACTAACATGGGGGTAAACTTCAGTCAATGACGGTCATCTGAAGCGACAACACAAGTGTTGTTTCCACGTGTGCGAATCTTGTGTTCCATGCGAAGTCCAAACATGTGGAGTTTGATTTTCATTTCGTGCGAGAGAAGGTAACATAGGGCAGCCTCGTGGTCAACTACGTGCCAGCCTCGGAGCAAATTGCAGATGGATTGCAAAACCTCTGTAAAAGTCGTGGTTTAGAGAAAAAAATCAAGGTTGTTGAATGAGTAGGAAGAATATTGTAGAATAGTAAGAGCTTCTAGAAGATGGTTAATACCTGGGGGTTGTTAGGCAGACAGCCTTCTAGAGTAACTGCATGCTATTGTGTACTTTAAATAGTTGTGTACGTTCTTGTATTGAAATGGGGGTTTCTTGTTAATAACAAAATATTGTTAAGAGGTTTCTTTAGTTATTCAACAATATTATGTTCTTATAATGAACTAAAATAAATTTTGGGTTATAGAATTTTTTATCAATTTTATTATTTTATATTTATATAACTCACATGTTAAATTTAAATAATAATTTTTTAAATAATTATAGTTTAATTTAATTATTTAATAACTAGTTATGTATTTATATTTTAAAAAAATAGATACCAAATACAATTTTACTATTTTAGTTTTGGATTCAAGTTTTCATTTATATTAACCAATATGTTTTCTAAATTTCAAAAAATTGAAAAAGAAAACTATTTTCTGCAAACAAAAATAGAAAACGAAAATAGAAAATATTTTATAGAACTAAACGGATCCTAAAGTTTTTAACAACATGTTATTAAAATGAAAGAAAAACTAAACTTTCGGTATCATTTTGAAAAAAATTAAAAGTTTAGATATTAAAATGGATCAAAACTAATAATTTAGGTACCAAATAGGTAATTTACCCCATTAGTTATACCAATAAAAATATCAGTGGAACTTAGTTTTACTAGAATTCGTCTTACTTTATACTTGATTAGTGGAGTGAAAATATGGATAAAAATTAGATTTATGCTGAGTGATAATACAAGTACGAATATAATATGGTATATGTTTTTTTTTCATCATTTTTATATTATTACTTGCATTTAAATGCTATGTAAGGGTCTTATTTTTTAAATTGTTTAAACTCGTGTTAAATATATTTTAATTTATCAATTAAATGATCACCACAGTTTATTATTATTTTTTAAATGGTGGCAATGGAAATAGTGTCATATATATATATGATAAGAGTTTAGCAGATAGACATTTTATATTTTTTCATTAAAAATAATTTATAATTATTTAATTGATACTTATAAATATTTTATATAAAATATATCACAAAACATGTATAATGAGGATTAAGTGGATCTCGAAACTCACATGGATGTGAGTAGGGATGGCAAACGGGTATAGTTTCGTGGATTCCGCATTGCATCCGCTTCAATTGGAGCGGAGATGGATATAATTTTAGCGGGTAGTGGGCGGGTGTGGATTTATAAAGTGGTACCCATCGTGGGTGGTGGGCGGGTAATGGGTTTGAGACATTATCCGCCCCGCATCCGCCCGCCCAACTAAATATCTATTAAATTTTGGACCATAATGAATTTAGGTGTAATTTTAGAGAATAATTTATAAATTTTAATATTGTATAATATATAAAATATAATTTAACCAAATATTAATGATATTTAGTCTTTAATATGGTCTTTAATTAGGGAAATATTCGGCTCTTTGATTAAACCCATAATCCCACTAAACACGTCACTTTCCATGTTCTTTAGCTCATGCTACCTATACAAACACAAATTAGTCGTACTATAAGCATTAACATCAAAAGCAGCAGTTTTCATGTTCTTTAGCCCCTCAAAACCCATATTAGACGCACTATAAGCATTAACATCGAAAGCAACTCAACAATCCAGCTCTGCGACTACATGCTCCCTACAATCTGTCTCCATAATATTCATAGAGCCACTCCTCTGAAAAATTGAAGCATGCGCTGCTACCCCATCACGAACTGTCTGGGAACCAACTCCAACATCCCATTAGTTTGTTGTCTGGCGGGTCTAGATGGGTATGTCGCTAGTGGATAGTAGGTGTGGGGATGAATTTGAAAATATACCCGCGTGGGCGGGTGTGGATTTGAAAATTTGTACCCATCATGGGTGGTGGGCGGGTGGTAGATTGAAAAATATTAGGTGGGTATGAGGATGAGGGAAGGGATATCCGCACCCGACCCACCCGTTTACCATCCCTAATAATAGCCATCAATACACTCTGATTGTGGATGTATATCCTTCCCAGGAACACATGATGCAGCTGGAAATGCAAAGAAACTGAATATAGCTGAGCCTGAGTCAGGGCATTTGGTGCAACATGAAGTTTGGAGAGTTGCTAGGGACGTCATGAATGCCTCCTCAGTCCTCGATGGAAAACTAGTTTGGACTAGTTAATATTAGCCCCAACAAATTCAGTGTGTACAGCTAGTTTGGTTTCCTGACCCTGGTTTAGTTGGGACACATTTTTTTTCTTGGGTAATCTACTCACTTAGAATCTAAACTTTCAAAAAATCTCAAAACCATACCTAACATTTAGTTTTCATTTTATTTTAGTACCCATCATTAAAAACTTAATATGTTTAGTATCTAAACTATCAATCTTGATCTATTTTAATACCTAAACTTTTGATCTTTTCAAAACATTAAATTTTGAACAGGATACTAAAATGAAACAAAAACTAAAATTTTTAATGACGGATTACTAAAATGAAACAAAACTAAATTTTAAATATAATTTTGAATTTTTTTAAAACTTTAGGTACTAAAACATACTAAAATTAATAGTTTAGTAATTTACCCTTTGTTCTTTCATGTTGCTAAAGAGGCTTGTACCAATCTAACACCAAATGTCTTGTACCAATACCTCTATAATTTCTATGAAATCTTCACAAAATTGTACCAACCATTGTAGTATACTTGGATACCATGAGAAAATGCATACACATGTGGATTTACACAATTAAGCTTCTGGTTTACGGATAAGCTAGTATTAAGTAATCTTAAAACCCCTTATTAAAGGGTTATAAATCATCTAATCTGACAGGTTCTTCTGAAATGAGATGGTAGGTATGGGAACAACATTACCTCAGTAGTCCTTCATTTTTCACTAATCACTACATTTTACTACTTGTCTTACTAGAGACAGGAAAAAGCTACTACTATAACAACCCTTCTTTGATATGGTAGCCTTTGGACTATATGACTTGCTTCTCTGACAACCATCAAGTCCCCATCCATAGCTCTTACATGATTTCATCTTGCCTCTAACCACTTTCTTTGGAAGATCCTCTATGCTCATCACCCTTGCTAATGATGTGAAAGACTGAGACTTCCCTTGGTAATGCTTAGAAAGCCCTCTCCTGCAAAAATACACAGAAAATACTTTAGTTATATAAAAATTTAAAATTTTCGGAGGGCGACACACCATCGGTCCATCTCACAAGTACTGATATGTTACTCTATGTTTGCTTACCTGATAGGTAGCTGAGCCATGAGATCTGACAATTCATAAAGAGGTCCATTGGATGACGATGATGATGATGATGTTGCAGAAGATGCATCCTCAACCAAGTCTGATGAAGATGTTGAAGAAACGGCGTTTTCTGATGAGTTTTCACCTAGGGATGATTCAATAGATATTGAGTTATCCCCTTGCATGATCATCAAGTTGCATACCCAAGCTTGATTCATCAGATTCATGTCTTGAAATAGCAGGAACAAGAACAAGAACAAAAGTAAGATTCGAGTTGTGAAAACCCAATGAAACTATGTGGTCTTGTAAGAGGGAGCATATGGATATACGTATATAAATATATGTGGTGGCATGTAATCATAGGATAATCTTGACCAGTTTAATTTATTGTATTTTAAAAATGATTTTTCCCTTTGTTCCAAGATTTATCATTATCTTGTATACCTTAATGGTCTATATTGAATATACCTTTCCCATTGTACTAGGAGCTTGGATAAGATCTAAATTTGAAGGCATCCATATCCTACTCACTCTCTCTTAGCTGAAAATGAGGTTTCTATCTTTAGTAACTTTGCTTTAAAAAGCCATTACAATATTTTACATGTTTTTTTATGTCCCGGCTCCCTAACGAAATCAAAGTGTAAAAGTTTAAGCAAATAAGGAATTTCTTTCTCAATTTATTGTTCCAATACTTTCTCAATTTTTAGAAATTAGGAAATTATTTAAAAAAAATTAGAATTTAAATTTTGAATATTTCTTCATGCACATTCTCTTAAAATTTATTATAAGAAGTGATTATAATTAAAATTAGGGTAACGTATGCATATGGTCCTCCAACTATAATATATTATTTTATTAAGTACATCGACTATTAAAAGTTACAAAATGATCACTCAACTTGATATGATCCCAGTTATGTGTTCCGAGTTATATAAGATGTTGCCCGATCATGATTCTAGTAAGAATTTCGCAGTGTTTTGATTGAAGACTCAAAATGTACAAACAAAGTTATAAAAAGGGAAATATGTATATATAAATATGTGTATGAAAGTAATGGAAATGATAGAATGAAGTTGAAGTGGATTGCAAATGAAAGAAGTGTGGTGGTGATAGTGGTTGAATGGATGTAACGAAAATGGTGAAGGATGTTTGTGGTTGGCATGGAGAATGATAGTAATTCAAAGGATGAATTGTGACCCTCTAACTATATATGAGTTACGAACCAACAATATAATAAAGATGGAATCGAAGTGATAAAGGGTGGAACGTGACCCACTAGCGATAGTAGAGCTAGGAACCAACGCTATAACAAGATGAAATGGATGAAGGCTTCAAGACCGACAAGAAACCGATAGAGTTCTAATCCAAGAACTAAAATGAAAGCAATCTTTCAAAGTATTTTCATAAATCAAATTGTGTTTCTACAAATGATCTCAAAGGTGCCTATTTATAGTATTTCTAATAAGCATATGAAAACACTCAAAAGATGATAACATTCTCATCAATTTAGCAATAAAATGCACTTGAATGCTTTGTCTTCTTATCTTCAAAGTTGGATGAATATTCTAGATTATTTTGGGGATGAATCTAGATATTTTGAAGCTGAATATGGCCTTATTTACGTCCAAGTAGGGGGGTGACTCTTGGGCTGCATTGTTTTGCTTGCAAATGGAAGAAAAGAGGTTAAATGAAGTCATAGAATGAATGTAGACATACTACATGTCCAAATCAGCTTGTCTCTTTAAATTCCTTGCTGATTTTATCACTTAATTTGATGATTAAATAAGATAAAATCAGCCTTCATTGCTTGTTCCTTGGTAGCATGCGAATAGCCTTCAAAGAATGATAAGTAAGACTTAAATAAGTGAATTATGAAGGATTGAATGCATTGTCTCTCCAAGAATATGAATAGCCTTGAAAAGATGAAAAGAATTAATCCTTGAATAGCTTTGAATAGAAGAATTAAGATAGCCTTCAATTGCTTGTCTCTTGATAGAAGATGAAAGGACTCTTCTTCGGCTCAAACTCATCCAAATAATCCATGCATGAAATTCCCGTAATGAAAATTCCAGCCTGCACTTTCTTTGGTAATTCGATCATATCTCAAGCTCTCGATATCGGATTGAGGTGATTCAAAAGGCGTTGGAAAGCTAAGAGATAGAGGAATAATTTTAAATTGGTTTCTGGATCAAAAAAAATGTCTGAATCACATCCAGAATTAGAATACATTCTGACTGATATTCTTGCATCTGTTGAGACTGTTCAACTTCCCTCTTGCACCTAGACACAAAAGTAAGAAATGTTTATGCTTGAATAAAATAAGAACATATTATGAAAACATTTAAAGAACTAGTTTAATTAATGAACCAGTTTAATTAGTGAACTATCTTTATTGAATGAAAGAGGATACTTAAATGAAGTAGCTTCATAAAAACCTACATGCTTTGATGAACTCATGCTTAAATGAAGTACCATGCTTATTTATTTATGCAACTTAATGTCATGCAAATTTATTAACACTCATGGAAATTCATGAACAAGTAAAAGATAAAATCCTCCCTTAAACTTCGTTGTTCCTTCTTCACAATCCAGCCTTGAGTATGATGGTGGAAGTTCTTCTTTTGAATTGAAAAAGGCTTTCGAAAATCTAAACTTGGTTTGAAATTCCCATATTAAGCTCGAATAAACTTCTAGAAGCTTCTCGAATGCAAACAACTTGCCTCGATCAAACGGTCTCAAGGAGATTGCAGAAAATGATGTAAGGCGCATAGCCGGAATCACATCACAACTATTCATTATGTTTCAAACGTGTCATTTCTCGTTAAAAAATTGAGGGTTGTCTAAGCTAGACGTTAACACGATGGCTCAGATATGACAGTCATTTAAGATTATGAGATCCGCTTTTATCATATCACAATCAGCAAATTAACGTTTAACTCATAATATCGTCAATATTTTTAACAGAAAATGCGGAGTTTGGAACACAATGAATAGTTGGGTTACCATTTGTAACTTTTAGTAGATGATAAACTCAATCAAGTAACACTTTATAGCCAGATGATTATTTTAAAATTTTTAATAATCGATGAACTTAATAAAAGATTACCTTATAGTTGGAGGACTATTTGTGTACTGTACCCTTAAAATTATTTAAAGTATATTTACTGTGATTGTAATTACAACTGTATGGTCAAAAAAGCAAACACGATTAGTGTATTCTTTTAAGAAAACGTGGAAGCCAACCGCTCTCATTAAAATTAAACTCAGTGATCCAAACGTAAATTATCCATTGGAGTTGATGACATCATACGAGTTAGAATAGGGAAATTAATGGATAAGGCGGTTGACTTAGGAAGAAATATGATGATGGGAAGTAGCCATTTGTAGTGTAATTGATGGGCAGGCAGCCACATTATGATTTTGTTGTGGACCCCCATATCTTTGCATTCTTATCCCTTTAATACCATTCCTTTGGATCCTAATCTAACTTATCACGAATAGAATTTTTAATTAATATTTAATAAAAATATGTATTATATTATGTTTATTAGATACAACAGATATCTAACTGAAAAAATATAAAAAAAATATTATTATAATTATTCTTAAATATATATGAAATGTTTATATTATTATCTTGAGTCAAAGTTTTTTTCCCTAACTTAAACACAAACCTGACATAACCTTAATATTTACAAACCTAGATCTAATTTTTTATAGAAAATATGTTCTTATAAAATTAAGATTGAATCAAAATTCATTTAATCGAGGCCTATATCCATTTCTAATCCAAAATTAATTTTGTTTTTGGATACTACGATTTCATTATCATTAATGTCCCTTAAAGGAAGAAGATGATTATCTAAGTTCAAAATAATTAAGATTTATTAAGTACTTAATTTCAAAATTAAGAGGATAAGTCGACACGTTCTTTCTTTTTTAAAAAATCCTATCCGTTCTATTCTTTTCCTCCCCTCTTACGTTTTTTTAGTTTGTGTCGTTCTTTATAGATCGAATCAATTTTTTCTTCTTTGATTTTGTTTAAACGGTGATGGCATCGATTTTGATGTTAGTTGTCAATCGTTGATTCTCTCTCTTTTTTTACTCATAAATTATGTCTTTGTATGACGTTTATCTCTGTATTTGTGACACGTTTATCCCTATCTTTGTTTCATGTTTTCCATTTTTTCTTGATCGTTTGGCTGTTCTTTTAATTATGTTTCTCAAGATTGGATTTGATAACGTCAATATTGATCAAGATAGTGCTTATTTGAAATCTTGTTGATCTTTCCTGCTATGGACATTAAATCTGAATGCGTGGTTTTACTTTCGTGGATAGTTACGACGCTCGGCTCTAATTTGCGATTCTTGGTGGTCTTTCAATAGCTTAATTATCTTTTGTGGTATGCTTGCGATGCAATTAGATTTGTTCATATGTATTTGTTCGAGTCTTTTGGTTGAGTTTTTAACATTTTCTAGGTATGATCTTATATGATTTAAATTGTCTAATTTCAATGTTATAGGAAAATATCCAAATTGTGTATTTAATTTACGATAATAGTTGTAAACTCTTATTATAATGTTAGATATTTTCACTTTTTAATAATACTAATGGTTTCTATTAAAAAAATTAAGATAACAATTTTTTTTTATTAAAACTTATAAAAAAAAATACTATTCAATAAAAAATTTAGAAAAACGTTCCCATCTTGCGCCACCACCATCAGAATACAACCATACAGAATATATAAAGAAGGATAAGATGAAAAGCAACCAAAAAAGATACCACGTGAATGTGTCACAAAACACAACAAATATGTAAATTACAAGAGATTTTTGGTTGCCACATGAAGATACAATCTAGAACTCAAGTATGGGCTATAAAATTCATTGGATAAGAGCTCTCATTCATATATATATACCCTTTTTAGACAACACAAGCATTGTCCAAGCACATGAAACAATCCGGATCATGGTCACTGAAACTGGATGACCTTCCAAAGGGAGGGCTGCTACGCCCGCCCGGACTTATAACGCCAACTCGTCATGTTATCGATGACTCTGACACTCCGACCAAACCCGACGAAAAGCTTGACGTGTAATACGTCTGCCATTGCTAATATTTCATCATCCGGGCACGCAGGGATTGCTAGTTTCTTTCTACTGACACTAGTCTCATCCGTTTTAAACCCGGACAATGTGTTTGACACAATTTTCGAGACAGTTTAGGGAGAGTCCGACATGGTACTAATGTATTTAAGCAATTTGGGGTGGGGAAGAACTTGCTGCTGCCTCTAGTTTTTACTGTGAAATGAGGATGCATTAAACAAATCCATTAGATGCACAATTGTAAACGTAGACAAAGTATTTCACTCAAACATTCTTAGGCAATACCATCCATGAAACGAGTACATCGACAAAGCAAGAGATGATAAGTATAGTTATTACAAACACCAACCATTCTGTCACTGGTACAAGGTTGCCATGACTTGAAAATACTATTATTTATCTGCACTCAAACCATTACTATATGAGGCGGCAGGTGCACTTCTGTATAGAAACCAACAAATAAGGGGGACACCAAAGAGATTAAAGACCCTGATCAATGAGATAATCGCCGAGTCTTTCGACAATCATATTGCACTGCCCGGGTGTCACTGGCTCGTCATAGATTCCAATGATCAAGGCCAGATTGGTCTTCTTAACAGTAACACCTCCCGGTCCCTGAAATTAAAATGGCAAATGCTCAGAACACAACCGTGACACGCGCATGTATGAGATACAGACTAGAATGTTATGCAGTAACAGCCGCATGTATATCCCTCAATGCCCTTCCGTTTTCTTCGTCTGGTTGTCTCAAATACACTCGCTCCCTAAGGAATCTCAAATGCATATGGTAACAGCAAAAGCCAGATGCATACTGAATAGATACGAGAGCACAGCACCAATGCAACTAATTTTATCAAAAGGTTGAACCAGAAACTATATTCGGATCTAAATGTATAAATTTCAAATCTATTTGCATTGACCAATATGTAAAAGAATGCATGTGCTCATGAGATTTGTTGTGTCGCAATTGAAACAAAACTAAGAACTGAGGGAGAACGTCACCTTCTTCCCCCGAATAACAGCTCCGGGTTCACCTTGGATCACCATGTATTTAGTGCCACCAATGTACAATCCAGTTGGGGCAAGTGATCCAGGTTCATTGAAGTCATTCATGATGCCAGTGATTTCCTCTTGTTTCAACTGAAATAAACATAAAACCAAGAAGCAATAAGCACAAGTTGACGAGGAAAAAGAACAGGAAATCAACATCACATTCTACTGTCCAAGTGCCTAAAAACAGTTGAACAATTTTCTTTCATCTAATTAAACTCTCAATTCAGGAAATTAAATCAATTAAATTCCCAAATCGAAAAAATTGAATCAAATAAACATTTGATCAATTTTAACTGTTAACACTAACAGTTTTTTTTCCTGAAATATTATTCTCATATGACCCTAACCGATTGTGTGAAAGAGTTGATTTGATGAAATTTAAAAGTATAAAAACTTAATTCGATAAAAGTGATTGAATTTAATTGATTTTTTTTTCAAAAGTTACATAGCTTTTCAGCACCCTATGGTCAGCTGCAAAGATCGATCCATTTGGAGAAGAAGACCTCAATTGATTTAAACAACGCTTAATGCTTATAAAACGAAGAAATCTAAACAAATAGTAACAAACCCAGAAATCATACAGGTTTCCCATGCATGAAAATCAAATCTTTCAACACATCCAGCAACCTAAACTACTAAATCATAGCCCAAAAGAATCATCTTGAATTTCAAAAAAAAATTCATTATAAGAGTGAACAAATAACATTCCTTTCGGAACAAATCAGATCAAATAATAAATCATGCAACGAGAAATCAACCATGGGAACCAGATCCACCCTCTTTTCTGAGACACCAAACCCAAAAACAAAAGGAAGGGAAGATTTACAGGAAGAAAAACCTGGGGGGAATTGGAGCTCTGGGCCCAAACGCTGCCGTCTTGGCCGATGATTGCAGCGGAAGTTAGATGGTTGCCTTCAATATCACACAACAAGTGATCGTCGACATAGCTTGCCACGAACAAATCAGATCAAATAATAAATCATGCAACGAGAAATCAACCATGGGAACCAGATCCACCCTCTTTTCTGAGACACCAAACCCAAAAACAAAAGGAAGGGAAGATTTACAGGAGAAGAAAAACCTGGGGGGAATTGGAGCTCTGGGCCCAAACGCTGCCGTCTTGGCCGATGATTGCAGCGGAAGTTAGATGGTTGCCTTCAATATCACACAACAAGTGATCGTCGACATAAGCTTGCCACGACATCTTCTTCCTCTTCCTAAGCTTCCCTTGATTTCTTCTTGTAGAGCTTCGCAAAATTAAAGAAGGATCTTAGAAAGTGTTTTGACTGAAGGGACAACAATGTAGAGCGAAGATATAGCGTAGGAACAACGAGATCTGCTATATCCTTTTTTTCATCAATTTTCTTACGCGTTTGGGGTTTGAGCCACAAACAATTCCTTTTCGGCTAAACTATCCTAAAGTCACTAAACAATTAGATAAATTCTATTTTTACTATTGAATAATTTCTTTTACCAATTATGTCATTAAATTGATTTAAATCAAGTTACATAGTTAATTGATAATTAAATAAATTTATAGAATAATACATTTGATCTTTATTATTAACCCATTTAGTTAATTAACGAGTTTTAGAGATTGGTTGGACTTGGTACGGTTTGAGCTCGAGATTTCATGGATACTTGTGGGAGATTTTCGATGATTAATTTTGGAGAAAGTGAGGTTTTTGTTTCGAAGATGACGATTTTGTCTTTAAAAAGCTTTGAGAAGTAATACACAGTAGAAATCATATATTCTCATGTTTTTCACTTCTCAATTGTTACGAGAAAAGAGGTTAATTGTTCGATTTAAACCTAACTAATTGATTAAATTAAAAAAAATTAGTTTATTTAACTGATCGGGTAGTTAGATGGTGAATTAGTTTATGGTTAAGAAATTTTTAAAATTCGGCTATCAGTTAATTCAAATCGAAATTGATGATCAGCAGGGGCTAGATACTGTCTCCCATTAGGCAGGTGATCTGACCTTCGTGGATACTGTCAAGAAGGTTATTAGTGATCAGTAGGGGGCTGGAGCAGGGGGCATGCTTCGTGCAATAAAATCTACTGCGAAGGCTTGGAATTCTACCAACAGATCATCAAATGTTGAATCTGTCAAGGACATGGAGGAAAGGATAAATAGTTTGGAAGAGGAACTATTAAAAGCAAGCAATAAAGTTACAATTGCTAATGCCCTTATCCCTCTAAAAGCATCCCTTTAGGCCAAGTATAGGAAGGATGAGAGGAAATGGCCCCAAATCACGATTAAAATGGTTCAAAGAAGGCGACAAGAACATGAGGTTCTTTCAAGCGGTTGTAATATGAGGAATAGATCAAATTATATCTCAACTATTTGAGTGGAAAAAAAAAGTTTTTTCGAACCCTAAACGTATTGCTGGATATTTGTAAATCACTTTCAAGGGTCCAATAATGAAACTCCAACTATTTCAGCAAAGAGGCTCGATGGCGATTTTAGGAATCTGAGTTTTTCTTCGCAAAAGGCACTTAAGGTTCCTTTTTTAGAGGAGGAGGTTTGGTCAGCCATAAACCCGAATGATGGATCCCGAGCTCCTGGGCCAGACCGTTTCAATCTGGACTTATACAAAAAAAATTTAACTGGAAGTAAAGTGCGAAATATTAAGTTTTTCAATAATTTCTATCTCGAGCAGTCTTGGGACAGATCGATCAATCAATCTTTCATCTCATTAATTCCAAAACTTTCCTCGTCGATAAGCGTAGAAGATTTCAAAATGGATCAATTTGCGTTCACTAGAGGCAAACAAATTTTGGATTGCAGCCTTATTGCAAACGAGATCATCCGCGATATAAAGCGTCACAACTGCAAAGCAATTATGTTCAAGGCCAATTTCAAAAAAGCTTATGACACGGTTGATTGCCGCTTCCTTGACTTGGTTATGCTTAAAAAGAGTTTTGGAGCGAAATGGCAAAAATGGGTTCATTTATGTGAGTCTACGGCTGAAATTTAATTCTCATCAATGGTTCTCCATCGAAATCCTTCAAAATCAAAAGCGGTCTTCGTCAAAGGTGTCCTTTGTCTCCCCTGTTGTTCAACATTCTAGGAGAAGCTCTTAGCTTCTTAATTCACAAGGCGGTGGATATGGATATTCTTATAGTCCTGTCTGTGAGAGAAGGAGATCTCAAGATTTCTTATTTGCAATTCACAGATGATCTCATGTTGCTCCTTAAAGCAAATGAGACAAAACTTAAAAACTCAAAAAGGTTACTGAGAGTGTTCGAAATGGGGATAGGCCTTAGATTAAACATGAAGAAGATAAATACTTTTGGGATAAGTGTTGTAACCCCCTCAGACCGATAAGGGTAACTCAATCCGATCTGAGGTGTCACATTAGGGTCACCGAAGCGACCCACTATAAATATAGCGGAAATTTTAAAACCTTTTATCAGAACATGTAAAATTATAAAATCATTTGCCACTATTTAAAAATAAAACAGATTTTCAGACTCGTATATAAAACAAAATACAATTACATGCCCCCTAATCACATGTACTGTACTTTGCAAACAACGCCGGAAGAACTCCCTTACTGATGTCGATAGCTGCACTGGTACAATTCTTTTAACCTGAAATGTTGAGTAATAGAGTGAGCTTCAGAAAGCTCAGTAATACAGAACTACTAGATGATGCTGAAGAACGTGCAGATACAGATAAACATACATTTCTTTATTGGTTCAAATATCTACAGATTTTTATGCTGAGCGGAGATCCTATTGATATTTCAGATGGTAACGGAAAATGAGCTTTCAGTTCAGAGAAATATTTCGGATGACTGAGTTCAGGAGATCAGAATAGGTTATCTAGTGTGTTCCGTAAAACTAGTAAAAAGATACAGATCTTTTAAAACATATTTATATATATATATACCCCCATTCGTCACGTAAAAAATGTGTAGGTTCCCCAGAACCATACAACCCCGTCACGTACAGTAAGACCCTGAGCACAAAGCCGAGGAGCCTCCAAGTAATCTTCCTCCAACAATACCCCCCAATAAAACATGTACCGTCCGTAAACGGATATATCAAAAATTAAAACATAATTCAAGTCAAGTATCATATCAGAATCCAGGTCATGTATCATATCATAATCCATGTCAATATCAGATCAGAAATCAGATAAAATATTCATGTAATTAGGGAACACACCAGAGTTTACAGATATTATTTGGAGGTACTGTATCAGGCAGAGAAACACAGTTCTTTAGTATGTCGATAGAATGTTGGAATTTAGAATCACTATTGGAAGAGTTCATTAACTGACAGAATCATCAGCTATTCAGAATGTGAATTATCAGGATAATATCTTATTCGGACAGTTTTCAGAAGCTGTACGTAATCAGAAGGGTATTCAGAATCCTTTACATCCATGTCAATTGATCGGATAATCGAACAACTTGAGAACAAAGATTCAGAACCTTAACAATCTATGTCGACTGGTCAATTCATTTTCCTTCTAGGGTATTTACTCTTTAATACCACAAATTCTTGTCCATAGATCATCTTCAGAATCATCGCTGAATAGATATTCCAATGGTCTTTATTTTATTTCCAAGCTTCCACGATATCATGAAATACTGACGTGCTTGATTTGTAGTTCATGTTCCTTAAGGACGATACATCATGTAAATTCATCCGAATTTCCAGGCTTATCCTAATCACTTACTTAATCCTCAGTCATTGAAGTTACTTATTTCATTTAGCATTCAAGTCCATTCCAGTTACTTCGGGATTTTCTGGAGTAATACAAACGTTCATGTATTTCAAATATATATTGTACTTCAGATCCATTCAATTTGGTATTCTTGGTTGATTTCTCTAACGAATATTCATTTCTTAGTACCAGATGTGATCCAGAGTTAAGCTGAGTACTTTTAAAATTATCATCGAACCACACTTGAGAAGATGAACACACATTCAAGAAACATCTATGCCGTTCAGGTACTGACATATCCTTAAGATTGATCAACTTACTTAAGTTGTGATCCATAACTTCTAAAGGTAGTCCAACACCTATGCTTATTTGGATTCCTTAATTAATCCAAGGTATTTACTTAGAATAGGACACAAGGGTATTTTGGTAATTTTGGTGTTCATTTTTATTCCATTTATTTCAGAGCTCGAAGATATCCAATCATTCTTGAGCTTGGTGGTATTCTTGGGTTATTTTTCCATTACAGGGGTATTTTGGTCATTTTACAGATTCATCGTATTTCAATCATTTCCTTCCGTCTGATCTTACTATTAAATTCAATCTTATCATTTACTTTAGTCCTTTTGAACAATTATGACAACATAACACCTCGACAAATTATTCTTCAGGTATTTACTCATAACTCGGATATTTCTGGGTCAAGTGTCTTCTCAGATTTTACAAACGGAATATCAGGAATTTTCCTGAACTAAGTCAAGATCTTAACAATCAAATTCGTACTTAATCGAGTTAAGTACAAATCCTAAAAGTATTTTCTCATTCAGGGTCAACTCACTCTTAACGAAAATAATTATAATTTAGAGATCTTATGATTAATTGCTTCCTTGAACACTCTCTTATCTTGAAATGATTCCTTAATAGAATTCTAATATCTTGCATAAACCCTCTAGGGGTTAAAAACTGGCTATCCATATTTCCTAAGCAAAATCTAGCATTTCTTAAACACATCTGTAGTTTTATCATATCAATATATCCTTTCAGAGTTATTAATCAACTTCCAGAGATAATTCTTGACATCTTACAACTTAAGGGTATTTTCGAAATTTTACCCTACTAGAGTATTCTCATAATTTCTCATCCAAGTACCTTTAACATTTAACCTTTAATGACATATATTATAAGCTACAAATCCATGATAATTCCTTTATCACTAATCACAGAACTCATAATATAATTCTAACAATCCATCAATTTCTTTATATTAATCAGCTGAACTATAATCAATTGCCAAATTTCTACTGTATTCGAATAGAGTGTAGAAATTCATTAACTACCCAAATGAGACCAACATTATCTTATTCATGCATTTACCAATATTCACATGTTCATAAAGCATAAAGAGGTAGTAAAGTATTACCTCGATTTTCGTACAATACTGATCGACCATAAAAATTCCATTCGAACGCCTTTGATCTTCAATTCAACTTCCAATAATTCCTCATATACATAACAACATAAATTATAAAAAAACGGAGCTTCATTACGATAAACGGATCGAATCGGGTGATAAATCAGTGAAAAACAGCTTATCGAGTTCGAATTTGGCGAAACGGACTTCGGATTCGGATTCAGGACGTCGAAAACATTAAATATGACTTTTCAGAAATTTAGAATTTTTGGTCAAAATCAAAGTCAACGTGTTTGACTGCAATTTCGAGGCCTTCAGGTTCGAATTTCGAAAAACGGATTGCGGAATCGGATTTGGAATGTCGAAAAATGTCAGGATATGTATACTCGGTCAAAGTCAAAGGTCGTTTAATGCCCAGTCAAAGCCCATCAAAGTTTTGGTCAACAGTGGTCAATGGTCAACTGGTCGGGTCGGGTCGTAACCGGTCAAACCGGTCAACTCTGCTCTAAAATCGGTCAAACCGGTCATTTGGACCATCCCCACGCGCAGTGACGGCACGTGAGGCCCCTTCCGGTTGCCTAAAAATCACGGAAAAATTCTTAAAAATTATTTTGAGCGATTCCGAGATACTTACAAAGCTCGGTTCACAATTTTGAACGGCGAAGAGCTCGATTTCAACAAATCGGAAACTTTGACCGCTTCACCTCCTCACGCGCCGTCGTCGACGAAGACCAAGGATGACACCGGCAGACTCGAAACGATGCAAGGAACACGATGGTGCGGGAGGTGTCGTAAACGGATCATCGATCGTTGTGAATCGACGAAAAACCAATTAAAATCGAATTATTACCGACGATACTTCCGACTGAAATTAACGACGAACGGAGACGATTCACGACGAAAGATTTGAGGGGTTTTGTTCATCGGTTGACAACGAACACGATGGTGGTTTCGGCTTGTCGATCGGAGGTTGGACGACGAGTAGATCGGAGTTGAAAGAAGGGTTGTTGGAGAGGGAAAACTGAGAAAATATTCTGCTGAACATACGAGGAGGGATTTATAATTCTCTCCAAAATAAAAATGGTTAAATCATAGGTTTAGCCACTGAATTTTTTATACTTTTTAAATAGTATGCTAACTTTCAAATTTTATAATTTAATCCACTTTCTTCCAAAAATACAAATTAAATTCACTAATTTATAATTTCTTAAATTTAACCCCTAAATTGAGGTGTTACAAGTGTGGAGGAGGAGGAGGAGATTTTATTGAACTGGGTGATTCGATGAATTGAGGTGTAGATAAATTTCTAACAAAGTATCTTGGCCACCCTCGAAATTCTACTTCTATATGGCAGCTCATCGTTGAAAATTTTTAAGTAAAGACTTAGCGGTTGGCAAGGTAAATTTCTATTTATCAGTGGTGATATGATTTTAGTGAAAGTTGTCCTATTCAATCTGTCAGTCTTCTATATGTCCTTTTTCCGAACGCGTTCGTTGTCTAATTGATCTATCTATTGGGTAAAATGGGACATCATCACAAGGCTAAAAGAGGTAGGTGGTTTGGGAATCTTCAATTTGAATATCCAAAATCGCTCCTTACTCAATAAATGGGTATGTGTAACACTGGTCCTTCGGTAGTCCCGGGTTCGCGTCTCAAATGGAAATCGTGTGATAGAGTCGTTGCGAATCACTTTTAAATTACATGGATCAGATACCTCAAATTTACTATTTACTGAATTTACATCTTACAAGAGATTTGTCGGATCGGGAGTCCTTTACAATAAAGGAATGATGAGCAACCCTCGAATTGTCCTTTCGATACCAATTGATTACTCGGTTGTTTTAATCGTAAAAGTTTAAAATTTAAAATAAAAAAATGAAATTAAAATTCGATCCGAATTGTTTATCTTTGACAATTATTGAAGAATTTAATGGGATCCTTTAAAAATAAAAGTCCATGTTAGGGTAAAAATAAAACAAATATGAAGAGAAAATAAAAAATTTTAAAAAATAATTAGAACACTGCAAAAAATTATTAGGCACCAATTTTAAATAAATTAAATAACAATAAAGGAGACTAAATTAAAATAAATTAAAATGTGTGGATTAAATTGCATTGAAGGACCAAAATGAATTACATATCGAACCTACCAAGGATTGCTGCCATAATTTAAGTATTTAGTAATTACACGTTGTCCCCTATAAATGTCCCCAATTTTTTTTGGTTCATTTGTAAACTCTCACCTTAAAAAACACTTCCCCCACTGTGCCAAATCCTCTTAACCAGACCCAAACCTCGACCCTTATCTGATTACACCTCCGTTGCCTCCCCCGCAGCTCGGGTCACCGCCTACGATGGTCAGAGATCTAAAAATTACTCCACTTGAAAGCCCTCATCCTCCTAAAACCATCCCTACCAACCAAATCACCAAACAAAAATCCCTTCGACATAGATCTAAAACGAAAAGGTTCGTCCTTTAGTTTTTCCTATGGCGCCTGTTCGAGTTCTTGGAGGTTAATGGCTTTCATAGAGTTCCTTCCGACGAAAAGGCTAAGTCCCTCTACTACTTTTTGTATTTTTTGGTTTTTAGTACATACAATGTTCAAAGCTTGATGCCCTATTTGTTCTTTTGCAGGGTTTTTATAGGTGCTCGGAGGATTTGTTTCCTTCAAAAATCGAAGGATTGATTTCCATAATCTAAGGGAATGATTTTGATTTATTTCTCATTTTATCCGATTTGTGACTTTTTTTAAAGATTTTCTGTTTGGTTTTCTTTTTCTTTTGATTCGGTTGCCTTTGTGATGGCTGACTTGCCTTTTGCATGTAGATTTCATTTCTATCTTTTGTCTAAAGCTAGATTTTGTTGCTGTTTGTACCAATTTTGGTTATGATCTAACTTTGGATTCGATCTTGTTGTGTGTTTTTGTCTCAACGTGTC